TTCCTCCCCTACACTTCCCAGACCTTCCAAGAAAGCTTTCAGAAGTGCCTTTCTTTCTCCCGTTTTGAGTTATCATATGTACACATGAAGGCAGGAGCTGCTCATCGCCCTGAGGGAAGTCTGCCTGAGGGTAAAGATGACACGAAGGGGACTGAATGAGAAGGAAGCTAAGTACTGGATCTAGAATGATTGAACCTACGCCTGATCACCTGCCCACCTCAGGACATTTGTAGTGACTTAAGCCAAGAAGTCTCTTTGTTGTTTAAACTTGTTTGAGTTTTCTGCTGCTTGCAGCAGAGAGCATTTCCAACTGACACAACTGAGTTAAATAAAGTCGGCTAGGGTACTGACTGAGGGTCCTCCCAGAACCTTGTTATGTTAATGTGCAGTGTTAGATCTGAGAGAAGCATCAAGTACGTACTATGTCCCGAATTTATTTGGCTGTGGGTTCTGTTCTTTCATAGTGCATCTCACAGGACAAGATTTAGTCTAATTCCCAAGTTTTACAAAAGTGGAAACTGAGATCCAGAGATTTAAATGACTTCCCTAAGCTATTATTAGTAGTTAGTCACACATCCGGGCCTAGGGGAGAGGCCTCCCGACTCCCAGGCCTGCATTTTTGCTTCAAGGTCACACCCCTTCTCTACCCAAAGAGGTTAAGAGGATCCCTCATTGAAGATGAATCTCAAAAGAAGAGTCTAATTATTCTTTTGCAGAGACTCCAAGTTCCTAGGATATTATAAAGCAAAGGTTGCAAATTAGGGGGCTCACAGACAAAATAAGAACTTTAGGTCAAATGAAATCGGTCTGAAGTATTTGAAAAATTATATCAGTTACAAACATTTGAAATAAAAATATGAATTTCTAGCTCCTCTAATAAAATTCAGACAATCTGGCAATACTAGGCCTATATTTCCACATGGTAAACAGCTGGAGCCAAGTGACCAGCTCTGCCTCCTGAGATGAATGTATGGGCCTTCCAGTTTGCCACACTCCCCACTACTCCCTATTGTATCCAAACACTGATGCCAAGCGTCAGTTGCCACGTATCAGTGCATGAATAATATTGCTTTCCTTTTTGTATCCAGTCTATTTCATTCAATTACCTGCCTGGCCCCAGTAGTCAATTATTTTGCTATACTGAAAAAAATAAAATTTCCCAAATGGAGATGTTAATAGATATTAAAAAATATTTCTGAGGCTCAGTAAGTTTGGAACAATACTGAGTTAATCAAAGATGAACAGATTTATTTACTGTGTATCTTTTCTTAGTCCTTTATGGGTCACGGGTCGGGAAGGCCAGGGTACATTTTTTTGGCCCTGGTTGTCTTTTATCAGAGACCATCTCTTTGTCATTATTATTTCACTGAATACACTTTGAGAAATACTGCCACCAAAACCCTTATGTCCCTTTCTGCCAGTGAGCCTGTGAACTAATGTCTCTTTTTTCTAGGATTATTATCACCTTGGTTTTCCACTGTTCCCTGGAAATTATTTTGAGAACAGAACAACAACAGCCTGATTTACAACAGGCCAGCACCCAGCACAGGTCAGTCTGTGGTCTGATCAACACTGAGATTATCCCCAAGAACAGGCCCATTATTCTGGGATGCTTAGGGCAGAGGATTTCTGGCCGAGCAGGGAGAACAGGACCAGGCCAATTGAGGTCCACACACATTCCTCCCCAAGGAACCAGCTTCCTGCTTGCCACTGTGCATCTTCTCAGAGAAAAACACCAAAGGAGAAAGACAGAAAACAAAAAATGACGGAGTGGATTGGTGACAAGAGAAAAGCAATGCTTTCTTAAAAAACAGTCTCTTCAAAGAAAGGCATCAGACCTCAACAGTTATTTTTCCCTTTCTTCATAATTTCCTTATTCAAAGGTGAGGAGGGGCCAGCCCCGTGGCTTAGAGGTTAAGTGTGCACGCTCCGCTACTGGCGGCCCGGGTTCGGATCCTGGGCGCGCACTGACGCACCGCTTCTCTGGCCATGCTGAGGCCACGTCCCACATACAGCAACGAGAAGGATGTGCAACTACAACATACAACTATCTACTGGGGCTTTGGGGGGGAAAAAAAATAAAAGGAGGAAGCTTGGCAATAGATGTTAGCTCAGAGCTGGTCTTCCTCAGCAAAAAGAGGAGGATTAGCACGGATGTTAGCTCAGGGCTGATCTTCCTCACAAAAAAAAATAATGTGAGGAATGACTAAATCTGAATTCTAGGTGTTCAACATGCTAACAACATTCAAGATCATTGGATCTAGCTGAAAAAGCCAACAGGACCCTTCAGATTAACTTTTTCAGACAGGCAGTTGTGGCCCTGCAAGTGAAGAGGCCAGAAGTTCATATAACGCTGAGGGGAGGACATGGAGTTTCTCTTAGGGGTGCTCTGGAGACAAATGAACCCTTTGCATCACGTGGTGTCCCTAGAGGCTTCTGCAGGCTACAAGTTTCCAAGTGGAGTTTGGCTCATAAACCCTCTTGTCAGCCAGCTGCAAGTCCTTCATCTTCTATTCCCCCGGGGAAGAGAGCCTGTCCTCAGAAGGAAGTAGCCCTAATCAGCTGCAGTGCGCACCTTGAAGCAAACCCCTTTCATCCTAAGAATGACCAGAGCAACTGCGGAGCTTCTGCTGAACTGGGGTCGATGAAGTCAGAGAGGAAAAGTCAGAGGGATGGTGCTCCTTGAGAGAGGTGGACATTTTCCTTACCTACCAAGAAGTCAAGCCCTTGCCTGCTAGTGATTGGATCATCTAAGTCTTCTAATTGCAAGCCCAGAAAGTGCTCTGTCATGGCAGTCTCTCTGTAAGCCCAGACTCGACTCCCTTGCTTCTTTCTGGGCTACGTGACTTGTCACAAAATTGAGACACACAATCACTCCATCTTCTTCCCTTATTGACCGAGAGCACGTCCTATCCCTAACAACTCAGTTTGGTCATTTGCTCAATGGAACCTTAGTAAAACAGCAACATGTATAAAATAACGTTCAACAATGTGGCAAGACAAGGGGTGTGCAGTTTTTGTTTTGGTTGGAACAACATCAGAGAGGAAGCTTAAGAACAGACTTGATGATGGAGCTAATCTGAGTTTTACCTTCTAAAAATGAGGCAATCACAGCTTGCGTATTGAGCATTTACTATATGTCAGGCGTAGTGCTAAACACTTTCCAAGGATTATTGCATGTGATTCTCACAACTACCCCAGGAAGTGTTCCAATTCTCACTCCCCTAAGGTCATGTAGTTAATGAGTGATGGAGACAGTGTTCCACCCAGGCAGTGTGTCTCCAGGGTGGTTCTCCTAATACAATGCTCTACCGCTCCCTTGATAAACAATGATGCCTCTTCCCTCTGAGGGTCACCAAACACACTCCAATGTGCTCATGGCCACACTGGACCAAGAAGGGATGAGAATTTAGACAAAATTATCAAATGTCAAACACATCTGAAACAGCAAGGAAAATGCCACATAATAAAGACCTCCTAATTTTAATAAATGACTGACTCAAGCCTCTATTTTTTTGTGTTCTGGTTTTAGACCATAATTCTCACTGTGGAAATTGAACAGCTTCACTGAGATAAAATAATTCTGTCTCCCTACCACATCCCTCTATAAACAGCAACTACAGTGGCAGCAGCCACAGAAAGATCAGAACTGGGCCCCCGAGACTTCCCTGAAGCGTTTTGCCTTACCTGCTGTAGACGAGGCACTCTTGGTTATTGATAACTTTATCAGATTTGTACCTCCGGAAGTCTTCCCAAGCATCCTTGATGGCAGTCACCGCCAGTATGATACAGATCGGTATCATGTTCACCTCAGGCTGGAAAGCATTGACCACGGGTACAAAATTCAGAACTGCAATGCCCACAAAATAAAGATTGGCAAACCGGTGTAGCTGTTCGAAGATGTTCTTGGGTACAAAGGACAACACAGTGTACTTGCTGGTCTTAATTTGATTCCCACGATAACATCTGTTGGGGTTCTCTTTGTGGGACCATCCTTCAAAGGGCAGGTTGGAGACCACCACTCGTCTCTTGTCTTCTTTCTTTTTCCGTTTCCTCCTCCCTTCCTTTCTCATCTCTGCTCAATCCTGTTACTTTAATTCTCATAGCATGGCACTCGAGTTCCCCATCAAAGAGTTTTTTTCCTGACCGGTTCCGTTGTTCAGCTGCCAGTGAGTCATGTCTCTGACATCTTTTACTTGCCTTCTCTGCTGAAAATTTCTCTCTCTTATTTCAAAAGAAAAATTAAAAATAAAAAGCCGGTGTACAAGCACCAGGGGAGAACTATGACAAGGAAAGAGCTTGCAGGGAACAGGTGTGTACCCGCCAGGTCACTTCCTTCTACTTGTTGAGACTCCACCTGTTGGAATGTTGACGTCATCCGCAGGTATCTTCCTTTTCCACCCCAGGCAGCCAAGAACAGGTGCACCAACTCTGGGTCCTAAAACCTACCTGGTTCAGTTCTAAAGCAAGAATTTTTAGCCAAGAGCCTCAGATGCTTTAAAAATGGTATACATTTTCTTGTTTGGGAGACATTGCCTGTCACTCGCCAAAGAGCTGCTCCTGAGCTTGGTCTCCTGAGATGATCCAGTCAATTCTAGAGTTTAATTCTCAAACTTTCAACCCTACTCTTAATAATATAACATCCTTGTGCTTAATAATATGGGTGTTTACACAAATTAAACTGAGGTTTCTAAATCTCAGCACAATCGACATTTTGGCTGGATCACAACTCTTTGTTGTGGGAGGCTGTCCTGTATATTGTAAGATGTTTAGCATCATCGTTGGCCTTTTTCCACTAGATGCCATTAGCACCCTCCTTCCCAATATGGCAACCCAAAATGGTAATGTTCCATGCAGGGCAAAATCGCTTTGGTTGAGAATCACTGAATTAAATGGTCTTAAGAAAATATAATGTGAGAAGAGAGACTAATCCTTTGAAAATGCTGAGAGTTTGTATAAACTATTTGCAAGAGAGAAAACAGAGAAAGGATTTCCCTCACCTTTCATATATTTGGATGTTGGAGCAGTTTATCTCTCTATCAAAGCGGTGTCTTTTGTAGTCCTCCATGCCGTCCTTGACCATGATGATGAACAGGACAACGGCCAGTGGTAACATGGTGATTTCCCTGTGGAAGACTTCTATGGAGGGCATCCAGTTCAGAATCACCAGGAACAGGAAATAGAGGTTAGCCCATCTGGAAGGCACAAGCAAGGTGGGAGTCAAAACCACGGAGAAGAAAAACGTACTCTCCACACAATTTCTTCACTGCTGTTGGCCCTTACCAACTAAAATGACATTCTCTTGCAGTGTCACCTTGAACACTATGGTAAGGGCTTTGAAACCAGATCCATCTAGATTCAAACTTGGTTCCTATTGTTTACTAGTTGTGTGACCTTCCTGAGCCCGTTTTGTCTTCTGGAAAATGGGGATAGTACTATCTACTTTAAATAGCGCTTATAAATATTACTTGGGATAATATTTGTTACGTGCACAATAGAGGGTTCTGTAGCATAGTAGTTGCTCAATAAATGGGAGCTTATAATAATAATTACAAAATTTAGGTTGATATCTAAGTGCATATCTTGCTTTATAATTAAAAGATGGTTTTCCATATATTGTCTTAAAAGAGTGGCTTGCATTTTTAAGTTTTCCAAGTGTTTCTTACTCCCGCTTGCCACAGAGCCTTTGCACATGAAGGTCTGTCTGCAGGAACACTCCTCTGGCTCCCTTCCCTGACTTCTCTCTCCCTCTTTTCACCTAGTTAACACATTTTCTTCTTTCAGTTATACTTCAATTGTCACTTCCTCTCAGAAGTCTTTCCTGACTTTCTTAACTAGGCTAGATTTCCCTGTTACTCACCCTAATAGCACTGTATATCTCTCCTTGGAAGTACCTGTCTGAGTTACAATTTCACATCAACTTGTATAATTTTAAAGTTAATGTCTGTCTCTTCCACCAGACAATACAGTCAGTAAGGATAATCTCTTTCTCTCTCTTTTTTTCCTCATTTATCTCTAGCACCCAACGCATGACCTGACATAGAGTAGATTCTGATAAATATTTATTAAATGAACAAATGGATGAATGAATAACAAGACTTCTCAAAGTACATGCATTTGGATATTACAGGAAGGTGCCCCAGAGGGTGGCATCTCTGAGCTTGTCTGACCGGCAGATACTTGGTTAAAGTGTCTATCAGTCAGCCAAGTGGTTGGTTGTGTACCTGTGAAACTGCTCAAAGAGATTCTGGGGCAGGAAGGTGAGGAGGGTATATTTGGTCGTGCGGATTCTGTTTCCCAGGTATCTCCTGGAGACCTTTTCCCAGTCTTGGTGGAATATGCTGTTGTTGGGGAACACAACCCGCTGCTGCGTTAGGTTGTAGCTCTGCCTCTCCTTCTCTGGGGACAGCAGTGGTGTGGCTTCTGAAGGAGACTGGGGGAGGCCATCTCTGATTCGCCACTGCCACCGGTGCCGAGACGAGTCCACTGAGAGGGCCATTTTCAGCAGCAAGCTAAGGTCTAGAAACAGACAAAGGAAGTCGCTATCGTCAGGAGAAATACGTGGTATATCGGCTCAGCTACCTGTCCACCCATTCATCCAAGGTAGATTGTGGGATACAATGTGAGAAAAATAGGTTCATTCTCTATAATCCATATGTTCTAGAGTGAGAGACATTAGGCAAATAATCATATAAGTAATACACAACTAACATTGTGATAAGTGCCATGAAAGCATTTAAGGGGCCAGAGGGTGTTGATGACTTGGTTGAGACTATCGGCAAAAGTGTGGCCTAGTGGGCTATGACCCCGAAGCTCAGAATTCTAGCTCTGGGTTCATTCCTAACGCTGAACTGTCTCTTCACCTTGCTGGTCTTCAGTTTCCTCACTGTAATATGAGGAAAACTATTCTTATTCTACTTATTTCACAAGCTTTTAAAAAATATTCTGAGACAGGTCTTAAAGGGAAAAGTATTTAATCTTTAGGTTTTCTCTAGCTTTAAAATTTTCTGATACTGAAAATTTTTTGCTTGCTTGAAGCAAAAAAAAAAAAAAAAAAAAAAAAAGCAATTATTGATGTCCATCATAATGTGACCAAAAGCAATAATATGACATTTGGTAAGCCAGAAATAACATTATATATCTTCTTTCTCATTATAAAAAAATATGCCCCTTTCATGGATTCTTTTTTTTATTATTATTATAAAAGAAAAGGAAATGAAAAGATAATTCATGAATAGAGTTGAAAACACAAATGAGAAATCTTGCCTTGGCTAATGCCATACGTATCAGACTTCTCTCAATTCTAGGTGATAAGATCTTCATAAAGGAAGATTGGATTGATATGGGAGCTGCAGATATTTTAGGTGGGTTGGTTTAAAAAGTCCATTTATCATAATCATATTCTTATTAACAATCTAAACTAAGTTCTCTTAAAAATAAAGCAGATGTGAAATGGATGCCAAACTAGTAGATGAAAGTTTGATGAGGAACTGGATATTCCATAGTTTCAAAGTATCTTCCCCCCAAAGTATTAATTACAATGATAAAAAAGAATCACTTTCTAGTGGAGAAACATGGCAGACACCACCTTATTCAAGAGATCAAAGCAAACACCACCAATATTGGAATAACTTGACATCTTGTGCCTCCTGATATGATTACTAAGAAGGACACAATGTCACTTCTGTGGTAATCACAAGGAAACACTGAAAAACCTCAAATTGGGGACTATTCTACAAAATAACTGGCCTATGTTTTTCAAAGGTCAAAGGTCAAAGAAAGGCAGAGGAACTGTTCCAAAAGTAGAACAGCAGACTAAAAAGATATGACAACTAAATGTAAGGTGTGATCCTGGATTGGATCCTGGACCAGGGGGAGATAAAATAAGTCGAAAGGACATTATTGGACAATGGGTGAAATTTGAATGTGAATTGTGGATTAGGTAATAGAATTTTAATAATGTCAAATTTCCCAATTATGATAAATATATAGTGGTTATATAAAAAAAAGTTCTAATTCCTAGGAAATTCATCCTAAAGTTGTTGTGGGTAAAGGAGCAAGGCATCTCAATGGTTCAGAAAATAATGTGTATGTCTGTATATGTGTGTGTATACATATATACCTATACACAGTTAGCTAGGTAGGGAGTTGTACAAGAACTGGTTCTAGAAACAGAAAGTTCCTGGGAGTGTCCTGTAGAGAACTTGAAGTGGGGGAACAGAGTAGCAAAGGTTGAGGCTGCAGAGACAGACAAGGGCCAGGTGGCCTGTTAAGGCTATTTATTACGCTGAGAACACGAAGGATTCCTGAAGAGTGTCAGGCAGGGGAGCAACATGAAGGGAGCTGTGGATCCCAGGCTTTGTTCTGGCTGAAGCACACAAGAATGGGTGCGAGGGGCCAAGACTGGGGACTCGCTGCTTCCCCTTTCCTCCAAATAAGATACTTCTTTCCAAAAGTAGAACAGGAAACAAAGGGAGATTGTGTAATCCTTTTATCTGAGGTGTGGTTTACTACTGCTTTCAGACAGGGAGGGGCACATCTGAAGCAACTATCTAAGGTCCTTCCAGTCATAAAGTTTTTCTCTCATTTTAATTTTTTGAAATGGCACTTTCCACTAACAATAAACTTGAGGATTATCTAGTTTTGCTAATTCATACTCAGATCACATCTAGTTTGAAGTAGTAATCCTCTCCAACACCAATATCATTTTCCCCTAGACAGTGTGTGTGTGTGTGGGGGGGTATTCCTATATAGGGCACCATTAGCCTAACATACTGGGTTAATTACAGTTTGCTGAGAAACCGTGTACTCATTCTCAAACTTTCTGCATTCTGCCTGGCCTACATTTCCAATTAACCCCAGTTCCTTTCCTTTTCATTTTAATGAAAGTAAACCGCATCGTTAGCAAATTCCATTCTCACTGTTAGGGGTCAATCAATCACTCATTCACTGAACCAAAAAATACTGATTGAACCCTTGTTTTATACCAGGTGAGTAAAACCTACATCTCTCTCCTCCTGGAACTTGCACTCTAGTGCAAGAGATTTTAAACACACAAAATCTCAGAGATTTTAAACACACACTCCTAGAAATACATATATATTCACCAACCAGGATAAGCCACGAAGGAGAACAGAGTGCAATGTGATTGCCTTACAGAGGGGTATGACCTTGTGCCCGAAGAGGAGGGGCTTGAGCTGAGATCAGGGGATCTCAGGTAACTGGACGGAATAGTGAGTGTGTCTACGTGTGTGTGTTGTGTGTATGTATATGTGTATATGTGTGTGTGTGTCTGGAAGCAAGTGACCATCCTAGGAAGAAGTCACATTTGCAAGCTTCCTGTAGTTAGAGCAAACATGTTGACTTTAAAGATGGAAAGAAAACCCAAGTAGGGCTAGAAAGCAGGAAAAAGTGATTCCTGGAGAATTATTTTCCCTTCATGTGCAGTTCTCTAAAAAGTATATCAGTTGGTTAGGACCATGGGGAAAAAAATACCCTATAAAATTAAATTTAATCTACACTTAGATTCTTGGTAAATAGTACACTATCCTGACAGTAGAATTAATTAGAATCTAAGAAATTTGGCTTTCAATTAACCACAGGGGTTTTTAAAGCACTCCATCCTGAGGATAAATGTGTAAATCTCACAAAAAACCATTTCCTGTTAGACACCTACTCAACAAACAGTAGCCACTGAGAAGAAAGAGGGGGTTAGCATATCCTCGAATCAATGAATTATATCAGTTTTCCCCAAAGTGAATTATTCTTGAATCACCCTTTCAATTTTTGTCATACTCGAATATCATTTGTTTTATGAAATGCAATATGTTTTATTTTAAGTCAACTCACTTTTGAAAGGGTTGAATATTGACTTTTAAAGCATTGATATCTGAAATTAGGGGTTTGACACACTTATTATTTTTTTTAATAGGCACTAACAGGATGTACTTTTATTAAAATAAAAACTTTTGGCCCATTATCACAACTATCTTAGACCTTCTATGTTTCTATTTGCTTTTCTGGGAACCAGGTTCAGAAACATCACCAATCACTCAGAAAGCATGTCATATTCGTTATTTGAGGCTCATCTACTAATGCAGGAAAGGCTGCTAATATGTTTTGCAAGTTTTTTTGTTTCTTTCTCACAACAGTGTCAAAACAACAATAGCAATGACAAGTTTTTCATCAACGCTGAATTAAATAAAAAATCCAGTGAACCAGATTCCTATTCATTCCCCAAGCATTCCACTAGATCAAGGAAAGATTTTAAGTAAAACAATATTATTATCAATTTCTTGTTCATATTGTTTTTTCTACTTATTTTGGTTCAATTTTCTTGAGAAAGTGGCCATGACTTTTATGTAGTTTTCTACCTATTTTACCCATACTCATTTCACAGACAAAGAAATAAAAGTAAAGGAAATAGAATAATTCTCTCTAGAACCTGTCATTTCTTCGTACTCCCTTTCGGGAAAAACTACAATTCAGGATGTAGAATCCAGGATGTATTTCTTTTTTTCACGTTTTATTGTTTTGGACCTAGGATATGTCACATAATTGATATGGTAACATTTCTTTTTTTCTTTTTACTCTCACAACATATTATTAAATTGATGGCATTTTAGATTCAGAGAATATGTTTATTGGCAGGCCAGAAAACAGAAATCATGGTTTGAAAACCTCTCACTAAGGTTTCCAGTTCTGGGACCTGCCCAGGAAAGTTTAGGAAGGACTTCATGGGAAAGCAATGAAAGAGGAGACCTTATCCTGCATTGGGGTTTGGATACTATAGAAGTCTTGGAGACAGCTGAATCTTAGAGCCTTCATTTGCTTTGTACTCAGTGACAGGAGTCTACATATAGCTGCTGTGTGCAATCAGTTCTTGTAAGCACCAGACAGGGCTCTGTCTTTCCCAATGGGACAAGCAAGAGCTGTGATTGTGCCTCATTCACAGACTACAAAATCTGTCCTATAATTAGGATGCCAGATGCTGACTTCCTCTAGAGGAAGAAATATTGGGTAAGAAATGAGTCTGCAGGCCCTTGCACAGGGTGGGATGGGGATTGTTGCCTTTGGAGGTTGGTGAGAGCCGGGACTAGTGTGAAAGGGGAGGCTAGAGTGAGAAAGAAATCGCAACCACTTTCAATAAAATTAGACAAAGGATGCAATTCTGTAGAAGATAATGAAATACATGACAAATGAAATTCTATAGAGTGGGCCTTTGTGGGAAAGGAAAGATCGAAAGATAGGTCTTTACAAAACTCCTGCCTCGTCAGCACGCCATGGTCAGCCTCCATCGCTAGTCTTTCAGCTAATGCTTTTCACCGCTGATTAGTTTTCTCTTAGCTCCTCGGTCCATAAGAGGTTTACTCCAATAGATTTTCAAAGGACAACTATTTTTTAAACAGACAAGAAGATATTTCTGTAGTCTGCCATGTTATACTTCATTATCTCCCAAGTTCCTTAGAGTTTAGGGTGTCACCAGTTACCCAGCAAGCTGATGTCCCAT